TTTTTTTTTTTTTTTTTTTTTGGTGTTGCAGAGTCCTGTGTTACTTACACCAGAAAATTAAGATCTTTATTTTTGTTCTGTTCAGTCTCAGTAGGATGATGACAGTCAGTCATCAAAATTCATGAGGTTTTCAGTGTAGTGAAAAACTAACACCCTCTCAGTGCAAAAATGACTGAAATCCTTTGGCCAACATATTAGCAATGTATGACGATGGCGACACACATTCCGAATTAAATACGGAATTTCCATTTCTTAATGACTTGAAAGTATGTAAACTGCAGCACTTGCAATTGATTCTGGTATTTGGAGTGGGAATGATTTGGATTTTGCAGTGTCTGTGCCTAACGCCTGGATGATGGTGAATTTAATTTCAAGCCTCTGTTTTTGCACATGAACTCCCAGTGGCAGTTTTCATTTATATCAATGTATCATTTCTAAAGAATGCTAAACTTGATATCCTGTTTCAGATTAACAGGTATTTATTGGGAGTAGTATGATAGAAGCAAAGATTTTCTAAAATTCAACTTTAAAAGTGAGCATGTAAACTCAATCAAAACAGCATTTAGAACTTCTTGTCCCAGGTTAGTGACTCTTCATGCAGAACAGTTTTTTTTTTAAGTCATCTGCTTCAAGGATAGGACCTTTGATTCTAATCATAGAGTTATTGTATCTTTTTTCTCTCCTGCAGATGTAAGGTGAAAATAAGCTAGAAAAAAAACTTCTCTCTGGGACATGGATGTACATGGTTTGTTACATTCCTGAACCTACTATGTATGGTGCTTATTGACTGTATACTTTATTTGTTCTCCTGTGTGAAAAAACTGGCTCAAAAGAACACTTAATGAGAACAAAGAGACAATGTACATTTGTTTAATGTGACATCAAAGCAAGTATTGTAGCACTCTGTGAAACAATAGGAAGCTTCCCTGTCCAAAAAAAGAAAAAAAACTGAAAGAAAAACAGAAAAGAAAAAAAAGACAGTTGAATGAATGGAGGATACCAAAAGTACTCAAAAACATGACAAAAATCTAAGTGAATAGTGGATTTCTGTCAGAGCAGTCAACGGTGCTTTACGTCAAGAAATGTGCCTGCGTTCTTGATGAAGATGGATGGACTCTAGTGGACTTCAGGCACAAAAAAAGCAGGAATGTATGAAATGATCAAATGCCACGCAAACACTATAGAACAATACATCCTTGCTTGGTGGTGTTTTAAAAGTCTATACAAAAAAACCTTCTGGGGAGCCTTAAGTGGATTATTTTTTTTTTTTTTTTTTACACCATAAAGTGATTATTAAGTTTTCTTTTTACTCTTTGCCTAGCTTTTTATTATCTCTTGGACTACATTTGCCAATAACACATATAAAAGACTGGTATAACAATAAGCAGAACACAAAACATTATGGTATTTCTCCTAGTGGGATGCAAACTAATGAGATGTATTAAAATAAAAATGGTATACCTATGCATAATTTTCTAGGCGTTTCTTGGTTTATGTTCCCCAACCTCCCCTGTAATTTAAAGCATTACATAAAGGAAAAAAAAATAAATGAGAAAAAGGAGAGATGTGCGTAAACAAATCATAGGATATCCATGCAAAAATCCTTTTTTTTTCCTTATGACTTATGCCAGTTGCCTACTAGTGATATTGTGTTAGCAATTGTCATTCTTATCAGTATACAGATACTTTTATTTCACATGTTGGAGCTGTGTGAAATGTACAAATTCTTGTATCTGCATTGTATAATGTCATGGTGGCATGGGAACTACCTTGCTGCAAATATTTGAACAAAACCTAAAATTCTTTATTTTTGGTAAAATGTTATGCTTTATGTGTATTCAACAGAAATATGTGTTTTTGTAAAGGTGAAGTTTGTATTTTTATCTAAAAATTAACAGTTTTATATACCTGAGAAAGCCTGCTAGTGGATTATGAACCAAAAAAAAAAAAAAAAGAAGAAAAAAAAAAGAAAAAAAAAAAAGAAAAAAAGAGCATTTTGTGGTCATATTTTTGTAGTAGAATAGCCCAAATAACATCAAAATCTATTTTAACTATAGCAGGGCAGATAAAATACTCTGGCACCAGCTCCTGTATTTTCAAAGTGCCAAAGGATTAAATGTTCAGTTCCCCACAGATTGCAGTGGGAGCCACATGGATAAATCCTTCTGTACTGCTTTGGAAATTTAGGGCTGTGCCAGATATGACATGGCTACTCACTTGGCCAAAATCACTGCCCCACCCCAGTAGTTTGGATTATGTAGCCTTTGTTTTATTTGGATTATTACATTGGATATGTAAAATGAACTACTGGATTCTTCTATTTGTGAAACATCTACAAAGAGATGAAAGAGTTTTCTTAGTTTGGAACAGCAAAAAAGTTTGTCTTGAAGACAGTGTTTCCACTCAAATAAAAATATCTTCAAATGTGAATGAACTGCAGAACCTTAAAACAGCAAAAGAGAGCAAGATTTTTAACCTTTCCATTTCTCTAAATATAGTTCAGACATTCCCCTCCTGTTCCTGTAGCTATGTCCAAATTCAACCAAACAAAGCATTGTTAGCTAACAGGCATTATTGGCTTCAGATGCTAATGCAGAGATAGAGTTAGTCACCGTTCTATTTTGTGATCATTTTCCCAGTGTATTTGTTGAGCACCAAAACTGGAAATACATTTAACTAAGATTGTCTGTGCTTGTTTTCCACTAAGTGTACTGTTCACAATGTTATGCACATGAATGTATGTGTCTGCGTTTAAGAAAGTGTATAAAATGTAATTTATATATTTATGTTTCAGTGGGATGCCAATAATGTTGCTCCGTTCCTTTTTATTTTTATTTTTTTTTTTGTCTAAAAGATATCTAATGAAAGAAAAAAAACCAAACATATATTCATTAAAATCTTGTAGATGAAAAGCATTATGTGACCCACTCAGACACTGTGCAGGTATGAAAGGATGTCAAAGTCACTTAAGTGGAATAGTTTGCAAAACAACTCTTGGAAAGAGTCCTGTGGTTGGACTGGCTGAGAAGGTTGTGTTTGGGTTTGTGGGCCAGCTCCTTGGGAGTGACTCCCCTGGGAATCCTGGAGCTCTGATTTACAGCACCGGGGAGTCTGGCCTTGTAGCAAAGTCCTGAAAACAAGGCAAACCGAGAGGTTTTGTTGGTGCCAGCAAATAAACGTGCTATGCCAAATTCAGCACACCAGGAGAGAGTGAAGACTGAATGGAGACTTTCCCAACAGCCGTTTGTTCGAGACTTGTAGTCTTGAGTCCATTTTGTTACCAGGAATGAAACGCACACGAGTCTTTGTTGTCAAGCACAGTGTTCATAGAGCATGCGGCAGAAAACACAAAAATCTCAGGGCTATGCTCTCAACTACTATAAATTGGCAAATGTTTCTGACTTCAGATGCCCCCGAGCTAATTTACATCAGATGAGGATGCAGTCCATGGCTGTTAAATGCGAGGAGTAGTGTCATGGCATGAGCATCACTTCCTGTAGTCCAGCTGAGCTCTCCCCCGCCAGCCTTGGGACTGTGGTGGGTGCTGGGATTAGTCTTCCTTCCAAGTGGCAGATACAACCAGAAGGAACAGTGACACTAAGGGTTGTGACACGGGAGTCGCTAATTCAAAGTTAAGTTGGACATTTCAAGGGCCATATCCTCAGCTGGTGTAATTCACCATCACTCCATTGCCTGCAATGGAGCTGTACCAGCTTACACCACTTGAGGGGCTGGTCCCTCATTCTTGCTCGTCCCTTCCACTCCTCGGTCCCGCAGGGATCTCAGATTGTTGTGTATGGTTAATGTAATCCTGTGTTCTCTAATACTTAAGCACAATAAGTGAATATAAGAATGAGTGTCAGACTTAACTTTGAATGTCCAAGCTCTGAAATGGTTTGTTTCACCATTGTGGCTGTAAATTAAACAGTTCTCTGTGCATTCGTGAATGCCGTGTCATATCTTCTTCTGCTGTCTGCTGGAGGTGGACTCCTTCTGGACTTCTCATGTGCTGCATTTGGAGTGTTTCAGGGAAGAGTGTGAGCAGTTGGAGCCACAAGATATCTGATGGACAGCTCTGTTATTTGTGGGGTGGGGGGTGAGTAGCGGGCTTATTGGAGCCGAGGATGATGGTTGTCAAAAGTTGCACTTCCATGCAATGCTTTAACACCTTGTTGGTTTTGTCCTTCCACATTGTAGGCAGCAGTTTGGGGATGAAATGTTTTTCTGTTTTACGTTCTGCACTCATTTCCTCTGTCCAGGAACCCAGAACTTCTTGGTCTGATTATATCTTTTTCTGAGGTCTTGTCTGATCAGAAAAGACATACAGAGAGGACTGCCCACACCCAATCACAGCATTACGATATGGAGCATGGTCACTTATCCCTTAGTCAATTCATTACATTTAATTCAGTGCTTCATCTTTCCAGACCTGTCCCTGAGTTGCTTTTGTTGAGTGAAACCAAGGATTGTGTACCAGTTTGCTTTCCTTTTCTCCTGTCTGTCCTGCCTGGCATCTGCTTTGTTAAGCAGTGCACATTGTCTGCAGGCAGTTGCTCCTCTCCAGCACTTTGGGTTTAGGTATTTTACTTTTGCTTGAAACAGCTTCCTCCTTCCAATGGACTTCAACATTCCACTTAGGAGGTTCTCTTGCCTGTCCTCCTCCGGTCCATGTTGCCTTTCTGTGGGCTGTTTTCCAACTATTCTCTGCCTGACTTTCCCATCCCTCTTGTTTGTGTCTCTCAGAAATGGTTTTCCCTTCCTGAGATGTGTCTTGTATCTGTTTTCTCTCTTCCTGCCTGACAGAACAGCTTTTGAGCTCTTGGTCTCCAAATCAGTTGGTTTATCTAGGCATGTGCCGTGAGATCCTCTCTCCCAGACCCACAGGCCCATAACTGACCCCTGACATGAAAGACAAATACTTTAGAGAAAAAGATTCATCTTTGCATTTGGAAAAATACTACTGAAGACTTTGCTAAAGCGCTGTCCAATTCCAGCAGCAGTGTGATGCTGGAATAGTGGCATTGAAGCTGTTCCAGACATCTGACAGTTTAATTAGGATCAGTGGCCCCATTTATGTTTCAATTTGAAAGTTTCAGATTTTATTTTGAAGTTTCAAAACTGCCTCAGATTTGCATGCTCATATTTTACTGTAAATCGAAGGAAATCGTGTTTGTAGGCCCCTCCTATGGCTTTGAAAATGTTCTGGAGAGTTATCTGACTTGGGTTGGAAATCATGGTTGCTGTAAAACAGGCACCATGTAGAGGTTTTGAATGAAGTAATTTCCTTGCTGTTTCTGATACACAGTTTGTACTACTAGCAGATCTCAGAGTCAGGTCAACTCATAGGAATCACACTTAAGTTTCCTTTACTTCCAGGTACAAAGCCTATCAGTGTTGCATTCCTCAAAAATCAGCCTATGTTTTGTGTTTATTACTCAATTTAATTACTGTCTGTGTTCCCACATTTTATTAGCAAGGCATTATTCGGTGTCTGAGCTTTTCTGTGCTGCTCTTTGCTGTAGCATCTCTGTGGCACAGCCTTGAGCTGGTTTGTATTCCTATCTCCTCTGAAATAAAGAACTATTGTTATCCCATTTTAGGCGAGACCGAGGCATGGAGAAAAGCCTGTGCAAGGTCATACAGCAAGGCTGTGGCAGAACCAGGGAGAGGACTCAGATCTGAGTGCTCATCCAGTGCCCTAAATCACACGACCATCTTCCCTTTCCAAGAATGAATCCTTGCACCCTTAGAGCTAAATACTGAAAAGATTGAGGGTAAGTCATTTTGCCTAATTACTGTGCATTGGATACATGATCAAAAGCCACTGCCATATTGTCAGAGAACGTAATGATTGATGAAAATCCATCTTTCTGCCCATGCAATTATGCAGCCTTTTATCCTATCATGAGCCAGTCATTTCTGGCTTCTCTTAGGAGTCAGCCTTTCATGACTTACAGTCAAAATTATGCACATAGAACAAGACTCAGATTTTATGGGAATTTACAAAAATTCAGTAGACAATTTTCATTCTCCTTTAATTCAGTGTCATTCCTTTTATGGTGTGGGTAACATTTCCATGGGGAACTGTTTTTATCATGGGCCCAATCTGAAATTTTTTTCCCAGGCCCTAACATGGAAAAACACTTTTAAGAGATGCCTGTGTTTGCTCTTCTTCAAACTGGTGCCTGAGCATGCTCCTAGGTTTGGACAAACATCCCATTGACCTCAGGCAAATGGAGCAGAGTTGATGCTTTATTTTTTAATTAGGGTGTGCCTTCCTGACACAGGATCCCAGTTGTGGGCTGGGGGTCTTTGTGCTCTCAGTGCTGAAGTATTTTGTAAGCAACCCCAAAGATGAAGTAACAAGACTTGTATATTGAACTAGGAAAACAGCTGGGAGTGTGCTTCTCCTGCTCTTGTGGAGGTTGCCATTTTGAATTACATATTTGTTCTTTTTGGGGAAAATATTCTCGTGGCATGGGTGGATTCAGGACTGCAGTGGCTAATGCCAGTGAGCCTGTTTCAGATGATCTGTTTGGGTAGCTCAGGATATAGTTTGGAAACTCACAGTTGTACTGGTAACAGACAAATTTGAGATGGGAGAAATTAATGAGAGCAAATTTCTTATGAAATCTGGCAAATTTTGGTTTAGGGGAAAAAAAATAATAAATTAGAAGGTAGAATAAACAAGACCAAAGTGTTGATCCTTCTTTCTTTTCAGTTGTGGCATGCCACCTGTCCCCTTAGTCATTCTAATTACCTGCTGCATCAGGCTAAAGTATGTGCTGAAGTAGCTCAGAATCACTACAACATGTGAAAAGTTAGGACTGGTTCTTGTTGAACTGCTGCCTATTACCATGGCATATGACTGTGAGGTGGGGCCCACAATCGCAGCTGTAAATCAAAGAACAAGTCATAGGTTAGGTTCTGTTTTCCTTAGATATTGTCTCTAAGTTTGTTTTCTGTATGCTGGTCTCGAGTGACATTTGGTGAGTTTTCCAATTAGGTGGGAAGTCATGAGTACCTCTTTCCCAACCGGAAGGTAAGGAAGTGCAAACTCTTAGTCTAGCTCATAATCAATGGATGAAATTCTGGGAGCATCCTGGTGATAAAATTTGTGTCACTTGAAGATTCCATGTCACATTTTTCCAGGCTTACTTCTTCCTGTAGAGAGGAACCAAATCATTTATATGCTTGACTTACTAGCAGGCCACCAAGTCTGACTTGGTTTGAGTTTTGAGCAACTCAAGAATTTCTGTTTGCACTGATAGCTGTGCATGCCAGATGTCTCCTAAGTTCTTAGATAAAATACACAAAGAAAGGCTCACTTGAGTGCTTCAACAGAAAAGTTCACATGTGAAGGCTGGAGTAGTCCCTCAAACCAGGAAATAAGGAGCCAAGTTTGTCATAGGTATTACACTCATCTTCAGATCAGGCCTGGTGTTTTGGCCTCTATGTACTATCTTTGAACTTGCATAATGAAGGCAACTGGGCTTACTGTCCAGCTTTGAAATTCAGAGTAGCTGTTAAATCAGGTGTGCAAAAAGCAGAAGCACACAGAAATACAGTTGAGCCCATAGTGCTCGAAATCTCCAGGGATTTTGAAAACATCTTAATTCTTGAAAGCAATCAGAAATAAGTAGGAGAAAAGCATTTTAAACACTTCTGAAAATCCCACCCTGGTTTATTTGGCAGGTGAAAAAAGGATCCAGAAGAGATATGACTTATAAAGTTCATTCAGTGACAAAGTATATGTTCGTAGAGAATGCTTATGCTTAAGTCTTTCAGCAGTTAATGATCATCTTTACAGACCATAATACTGGAATACTTCACTTATCAATGCATCAGGGCTTGGATGAACTTTGAGACGCATGAAAACAAGACACTCCTTAGGCTGGTGGTAGCTCTGTGTTCTGGTAACTGATCAACCAATTACATAATTGGTCAGGTCTCTACCTTGCATGAACAGATACAGCGCCACTGACTTCTCTGGGGGTGACAGTTACCTGAGAACTGACCCGAAACTCTTGCCACAAAGCAGATAATGCTTTCATATTTTGCTGTTTAGTGTTGTTGTAAAAATAGACTCATTTCCTGGAGCAGTTAGAACATGAAAATAGGGAAAAACAATTTCCCACAGAGACTCATCCACACTGGAATTCACTGAGGACCCCGGATGTGAACATGTGCTGATAGAAAACATTGAACAGCAACTTTGTTTAGGGAAGCCTCTGACCTGTCAAAAATGCAGAGCATTTCTTACCAGACTTTTCCTTGGCAATTAGTGGGTAGAATTACTCATAGAAATTGTTTTGTTTGCTCACAAAGGGAGAAGTAAGACATAAATTCAAGATAGCCCCTCTTTGACCACAAGAAAGTCTGTTCACAGAGGGCCTATGGGTAAAGTACTGGGTGGCCTCAGCTCCCTTTGGGGATCAGCTCAAACTTTTAGACCTCAGTGAAGTATGAAGGACCTCTCCAGAATTGCTGGACATCCCTAGCTAGAATTTTTTCAGCAGTCTAAGGGATTTGGAAATCCACTTTTAATTAATTTTTATGTGACTTTCAAGAAACCTTTGTTGGCTTCAGCACATCTCTGTCTTTGTTCTGAAGAGAGACCCAGTGATGTCACTGTGACTTCTGCCTTCCATGTCTTGGCAGCAGCACTCAAACCTCAGGTTTCAGACATTTCAGATGAGGAATCCCCTTCACTCCAGCCATGATTCACCTTTCTTTAGCACTTTGACTTTATAAAGGTGGTGCTGGTTTAACCTGAAGACCAGGGAAGTTTCAAGAGGTCAGATTTCACCTCTGGGCCCTGCTCAGCTGCTGTTAGAGTTTGTCTGGGGCCAGAGAAGGAGGGAGAGCACTTCCATTGTGGGTGAGGGCTGAGGGCTCCGTGCTTACACACTTGGAAGTGAGGACATTTCTTGGCCCAAACTCACCCACTGTAAAGTATTTATGCTCAGAGTTCTCCTTGGAGCCAGGAAGCTACTCAAAAACCTGCCCAAGATCTGAATTCCCCTTGACTCTGGGGGGTTTCACAGCGAAAGTGACAGAAGCAATTTATCCCAGATAGAGTGGTTTCTTCAACAGGCCGCGTAGGAGTCAGGCAGGTTAATGCTCAGCTTGTGTACTTCACTGATTGCCCCAAATCTGCTTTTAAATCAAAGTTTAACTGTTCTGGGATATGTTTCTTGTAGAAGTGCTTCAGAGGAGCTTGCCTGACAGCTTGTGTCCATTTGTTGTGAGTGGTTGGGCTATGCCTGGGTAGCTGACAGGGGTTTTGGGACCTTGCAGCTGGGGTTAGTGAGTGCAAATATTTCCCATTAGCTCCCTGCATACCCTAAGTTGTGATTCATCGAGGGAGACAGTGCGAAGCTGAACTCGAGGCTTATGAGATGTTTCTTTGAAGTTGCTTGTGCTTAAGGTTAGGCCTGATCTGAGTTGACTTGCTGAGCTGAGGCCCCGAAGAGCCCACTGTGCTAGCGTAGTGCAGTTTAGTCTTTTCCTCTTAAGCATTGTCCAGAGAGGTGTGAGTTTCAGAAGGGTCTGAAACCTTTCAATAAACCAATAATAGGTTACCTTTCAATAAACCATTCCATGGTTTTATAGCAGCAAGCTCAGCTACACTGGAAAGCCCAGAGCTAAGCCTGCCCTCTCTGGGCCTTCCCCTTCCTTAGTTTCTTCAGCATGTTTCTTTTCAAAGGCAAGTGGGGGGAAAAAAAACCAAAAATCTTAAAATGGTACCTTAAAAAGGTGGGAAATGAAGCAGATCATATAATCTTGATTCCTTTATCTCAGTTAAGGAGAAGTTTGCCAATAGTGATCTGGTATTTCCTAAAACAAGCATATATGAGGAACACTTTGAGGAACTTCAAAAGAATTTTCAGGCTAGATCAGGAAAAGATAAAAACAGAAGTGGAAACTTTTAATACACTTTATATTTCAGTACTTACAGGAAGTACATTGTTACATAGGATACTAATGAATTCTGCAGGACAAGGTTTCCAAAAGAAAAGTAAGTGGCACCTTCTCTATCTCAGAGAAAAGGTCTGAGGGCTTTTGCAATTATGACAGATATGCAGTGGATATGTATGGTCATATCACCTGGAGAGAGTCTATCTCTGCAAAAGGCTTTTTGGAGTTTCAAGTGTGTACACTATTGAATTTCTGTAGCAACTTCCTGGTCTAGCTGTGAAAGGTGATAAAGGGAATGGTAAAAGTCTATCTTGCTTTCAGTTGCCCTGTTGTACACCTCACAGTGCAGAAACACTGCCCTGTGTGTAGCTGGCTGCAGGAAGCATGGCAGGAGCACACTGGAGGGGCTGAGGATGAACACATAAAGTTGGTGCTGATGTTCCCAACCAGGTAGTGAGGCCAGCAAAGTGAAAATAGCAACATGGATACTCTGATACACCAGTGGCACTTGTCTGGGAAAATTATTACTTGACAGAGTCTTAATTAACTCAAGTGAAGAAGTAATTCTGAAATCCTGATTTTGGAATCCCAGAGAGTTAACGCTCTCAGAAACTATGTGGTACAGAATTGCCTCACATTTGTAAAGCACAGAGAAATCCTAGGTAACAGTTTTGTACTGTTGGAAGAGTTCTCTGGTATCAGCAGAGCCCACTGTGGTGCCTTGAGAGTGGAAGGTTTGTGCCCCAGGCTCTGCTCAAGGGTTCAAGTCCAGGTATGAATGTATTTTAGGCAGCAAGGCATTTCCATCAGGGCTGAAGCACACGGACATTTTTTTCTTGTGTACAGGCAAGATATTTAAATATAGGGTTAGTTGCTCTTCGTATCTTCAGGGTCCCAGATCCTTCTAAGCCTGTGGTCACTGGAAGGCTGTCTGACCGAAAATCCAGAGGCCTTTGCCCTTGTGAAAGTTTCTGCTCTTGCTTGGAAGTGAGATTTGGACTCCTGAATTACAAAGATGCTTTTGCAATTGTTATATCTGTCTTTCTGCTTCTTTATAAATCAACCTGCTTGGCCTGAACTGAATGTTTGAATAACAAACAGCTAAAAGACAGTCTGATGGCTTCTTTCTGAGTGTTTCCCTTAGGGAGCCCTTGGGATCACATGGCATCTGCCCTGACCTTAAGGACCTGCTTTCTGGAGGATTTTTTTACAGTGCTAACAAACCTCACATTTTAACTAGCTGTTAAATAAGCCAGTCAGTGGTAACTATTCAGGACAGGGATTATTCTTACAGGAGAGTACTCTTGCTGGCATACAAGATGGCTCTGTCCATGTGCTGGCCAGGGATGAAGGGCTGGAAAACTGTGTGGTGGAAGAGACTATTAATGTGATTTTCCACAACTTTCTTTGCAGCTGCATTTTTGAGAGGAGAGAGAGAGAGATGGCTAGGCTTGCAGTAACATGTTGTGCCGTCATAAATGCTACAGCCACCATCTGTTTCCAGCCCACGACTTGAAAGAAAACTGAGCAGTAATCTCATAATTCACATGAGCGTTTTACACTTGTGAACCTTTCCCAACCTTTGTCTAATAATGAGGGGAGTGCATGGTGCTAAGTTTTGTATTTTTCCTGTACGTATTAATGTTTATTTGTATGTCTTTTCCTGTTTGGTTGTTTTGTGAGTTTTTTTTTCCATTAAAAAAAAAAAAAAAGAAATTCACTGGGAGAAAAATCAGACCAGTTCCACGGTCAAAAGAAATGTAATAAAGGCAAAATCCCAATTCCACTGATCTTGCTGGCAAAATTCTCCAGGAGGAGGTACATTTTACATTCCTCAGTGTGTCTGTTTTAGTTACTTGTTGATTAAAAGAGAGACATGAGAAAGTGAAGAGGCAGGTTGCTGAACTGCCCTTTCCCTGCAGAAACAGAGCTGCTACAAGAGCTGGACGTGCACATTTAAAACTGAACCATCAGAGAGGATGGTAATGGTAGGCTGGCTTTTAATGAAAACAGATTCTTCTGCTAATCTTTGCTCGGGGCTGGCCCTCTGCAGGATTAAGGATCCCACCTGCTGTGCCAAAGACATGCTCAGGTTCGGGGCTGCTGGTGGGTGGGAAGAGCACAAACATCTGAGTGAGTGATCCCAGTGTGTCCTGGTACAGAGCCCTCAGGGAAGCCAAAGAGTTGAGATCATTTAGTTGATGGAAATACTGCTCCCCTCCAGCCTGCAAAGGGCTGAGCATCATTAAGGATTTCTTTCTGGCTGCTCTTCGAAACCAAGGGCTGCTGTGTCTCCGGGCCTCCTCTCACCTTTGGACCCAATTTGCACACCTCCTCCTACCACAGCTGAATGAACTCCTGCTCTCCTCTGGCCTTAGGAACAATGGCTTTCATCATCCCTACCAGACTGCAGAGCAGTTTAAGGATGAAAGGGCTTCTCATTTCATATAACCCACTGCTGCTAGAGCTATAAATCATCGATGGACTGAATTTATAGCCAACTGCTACTGCAAGCAAGTGAAATTTATTTTGTGTTGTCATATGTGTGGTCAAACTTTCCAAGAAGCTGCCAAACAAAGAACTGAGCTGCTGCTGAGAAACCCACTCAATCTATTCTCATTTTATTTAAAAATAATAAATAACTGTCAATCAGAGGAATTTATTTTGACATGTGCTACCTGCTGGGTGATCTGCAGTGTCTCCGGGATGTGTCTGTAAGTGAAAGAAAGCTGCTAGCTGTTGCCAGGTCTAGCACATATGACATGAAGTTCCACCAAGGAAAGGTTTGTGAGCTCACTAGGGTTGGGGACAGATTGAGGGCCACCTCCTTTTTTAGCATTACTTGCTCTTCTGAGAGTGTTTGGTTTGGTATCAACAGTGCCCAGGGGTCACAGTGACTTTCTGCTTGAATCAGTGACAAATCTCCATTGACCTGTACAGAGCAGTGGCCCTGCTTCTGTCTCTCAGTTTGCTGACAGGTGGATTCTTGGTGGGTCCCTGGGGTCTGGAAAGCTGGCCTGTGCCTATTTTGGTGCCTTGTGATGGCGACGAGCTAAAAATGAGAGAGTAGAAACTCTTCAAGCTGCTGGGGTCTGAATCACGTATTTCTGTACGATTTACTGACAGAGCCAACAAGCCTGAAAGCTTATTTTTGTATTTTACCCAGGCTCACTAATTAGCTGGGGGTGTTGGGAGCTGTCATATTGAGCAGCCTTTCCCTGCTCACTCCTGTTGTCCTGCTGGATTCAATCCCTGCAGCCTCCCACCCCCTTGTCTGTAGTTTATGGCCACATCTGGAGTGTCTCCCTGCACACGTGCTGGTAGGAGCCTCCTCCCTGCTGGCACACACGTCATGGCTTTTGGGGTCCCTGGAGTTACAGTCATCCTTCCCAACACTTGTTTTTCCATGAGGGGGAAAGAGAGAAGGGCAGTGGCAGGGAAGGCCTCTGACACGAAATTCCCAGGAACAGGATTTGCACATTTTATGACCGTTCAGATGGAAATGCAATGGTGCTGAATTATTCCTCCTTAATCCTGCTTTCTCACTTTCCTCCCAGCAGCCTCTTCCCCTGCAGTTTAGGTAATACAGAAGCTTATAAACAAATCCCACCGCGTGAAAAATAGCAAAGGGGGAGAAAAAAAAAGAGACCTGGGTTAGGGCTGTGATGGATAGACAGGTGGAAGGCAGGCACCAGAAGGGAGGATGAATGGTAAAAGCCTTTGATGGAAACACTAAAGAGCTATTGAAAATCCAAGGGGTGGGGGGAGGGAGGAGAAAGAATAGCAGGAGGAGGGAAAGCAAGGGAGTCGTGCCCCCGTCCCCCCGCCCTCTTTCTCAGGATGTTGAAAGTACTTGTCCTTCGTTACAAAATGATTGAACTGCCGCCAGGCCAGGCCACCCTTCCAGCCATTGCACTGGGAAACTGGCACTTCTGAAAGCCTCGTTGCCTCTCAAATTTTATAGCTTTCCCTTTTTGTGGGAGTTTTTGTGTTGTGCTATTTGCAGGATTGTTTTCAGATTTGCCGATTATCTAAGAAACTATGTTTTGTTTTTGTTGCTCTGACAAACACAGAATCCAGGTAATGAAAAGAAAATTAAAAAATAAAGGCACATTTTTATCAGAAAACACAGCTGTCTGCCTTTTATTGAGTCAGAATTTCATACATTTGGTATTCACGGTGTGAATTTGATTTACCTTTAGTGCTTTTTGAAGGAGGAATTTCATCCTACAAATAGAGATTCTCCTTTACTAATGCCTCTGTGTGCACAAAAGTGGTGCCTGTTCTTCATAGTCAGAGTAGTGAGGATGACCCTGTTGTATCATAATTAAAATGGATTTTGTATCACGTACATGTAGACAACAGTGGGAAAAAATAATCTTTCCCCCTTTCAGAATGGTTCCTGAAGCTCTGCAATGTCTTTGACCTGCAGGATCTACAGATGGAAAGAGCTGTTGAAGATCTGAGTATGAGACTGTTCCTGCTGCCAGAGGCTGTATTTGTACCATGTATTTATATGTGTATGTATTTATATAAGCCCGATGCTCGGGAAGGACTGGAGCCGTGTGTGTTCTTAATTAGATTTGGAGGTCTGGAGATGCAGCACACCCAGATTCTTGTTAACCAGGGGAGGACCCAGGGCCATGGGGTCTGCCTGGTGCCACTCTTGTGTCAGAGAGATCAAGGAGTGGTGGTGCCCTGGCCAAGGGGTGACCAGGGTGTGACCAGGGGGTGACCAGGGCTGTCCCTGGGCAGGTGCCAGCTCTGTGTGTGGGGCGAGTGCATGTCCTCCTGTCCCATCATCTGCATCACCCTCACTGCAGCCCCAAGGGCACTTCTCTGAGTACACAGGGCAGACAGGCAGCTGTTGCCTCCAGGATTAGATCCTGGATTAGGTCTCTGATGGGCCATGCCATATCATTAAAATAGTCCTGGAGGAGCAGAGAGGCAATGTGCCACCCGTACACGGCTGAATACTGGGGGGCTGTGCTTGCTCACAGACCCACTGCAGCTGAAAGCAAATCTCTCCACTAACATCATTTACAATATCAATTTCCACCTAAACATCTCCAGTGCCTGGCTGTTGTCATGAGTTTGCAGTGCCCTGTGAAGTAACACTCCTTTGCCCCCAGTTCCAAAAGAGCAGAAAGGGTAAGTGGCTTGCTCAGGGTTAGATGGGAGTCACTGGAGATGGTGCTCCACTCTCCTGCCTGCAAAGGAATTCGCTGTGGTGACCAAAGCAAACATCCCCTGCTGTTACCACGCCGGACTGTGGCATGTCATTCGCACTTTGTCTCTGAGATGCTGTATCTGGGTAGGTATCACCGTCCTTGTGAACCAACTTCTAGCTCTGGAGCGTGGGTGAACACTTGTCATCATGCCAGGATGACACAAAGTCTAGAAATTATGGTGGCAATTCAGGTCATGGGATAAAGGGGGAAAAATGCTGTCTCAGAAGTGTCCCTGTCTGGTGTCACTGCTGGTGATTATTTAAGATGCAGGACATGACTGTGGCAATGATCAGGTTGTAGCTGATATGAATCATGTCTTGAAATAACACTTTCCTTCTTACATTGTGAAAATTACAGCAGTATGGGAAGTGAGGGAAAATAGGATTTCCCTGGAGGTTAAAGATTTTCCTTTAATCAGCTTTCATAATGTTAATTAAATGTTTGGAACAATGGCTGAGTCCTGGGATCCGCCCGCTCTTGCATAACTATCTCACAATGCCGATTTCACTTTCATGTTTATTTGCCAGCACAATTCCAAGTGAGAGCTGAGCAAGATCTCCACACCAAGGAGCTCCTTGGGGGTTTGGGAGAACTCGCCTCCCTCTCTTACCTCTCCTGGGGAGAGCAGACTCCAACTCTCCCCTCCCAAGGAGGAGCAGCCTAGAGGGGTCAAAGCACTTTGTCTGTCATCATCACCCCATCTGCAAATGGGGCTAATAAAAACTTACTGGTATTTTGAGGCTGGTGCATATAAATATATACCCACCCATATGGAGGAAAGGGTGTGTTCATAGAGATCAGTACAGGGATACATCTATTCCGGGTAGGTAAGATGGATTACAGTGCCACTTGTTCCCTGAATTTTTCACTCTTTCTGTAGCATAGTTGCTATGTGCCCATGGGAGCCATCACCCCTGGTCCTTTCAGCAGTGGGCTTAATATAACCTGGTCTCACATCACACACACACAGAGCTCTGGGGAAGAGAAAATTTGGGGAAAGGTTCACAGGCAGGGCATGACACTGCTCACCCAGGGGACCACGCACCATGGGAATGGGAGCTGGGCACATTTCCTGGGCCTCTTGCTGCCAGACTGGGACATCTCTCCCGGTGGTCTGAGATGTGCTGGTGAGCCCCAGAGCTGGACTAGTGGTCCAGAGCAGCCACTCTGCTTCAGGGGGTACACATCCATCCAGAGCCACAGCCTGGCCACTTTGTTCTTCAAGTTAGAAAGGACTTGCTTCAAAAATAAGGTATGAAAATGTACGAATGTCAGACACTAGCAGAAAGAAAAAGGAACCTATTATATTTTAGGTCAAAGAGTTATCTAGCTCAAGATTTTTAAATATGTGCAAAATGCAGTTTGTGCAGAGGGGCCATTAATCAGCCTCTGGAAGAACTGCCCTTTCTGCCTTTTTTTAAGCTGCAGAGATGAAAACAAAAAGCGGGGAGTGCAGGGCCAGCTCCGTTTTCCCATTGTACAGAGCAGGAGGGCACCTCTATCCATGCAGGCTCCTGCTTCCCTGGCAACATGTTCACATCTCTGCAAAAGCTGTTTAAATACGCAGAGCCACGCAAACTACACGGCACTTTGGCTGTTGACACACGCCTTTGTCTGCTCAGAGGAGGTGCTCTGTAAACACCGCTGCTGGACGGTTCTTATGTGACTTATTCCTGATTCATTGGGTCTAAATTAGTAGCCCCAAGGCACATACCTTTTGTACAGGCAGGGAAGGGATTGCCTCTTCTCCCCACCTTTGGAAACTTTGACCTGCTGGGATCACAAACTGTAGGAAATCTCAGAGGCGAAGTCCCAGGTACCGCCAGCAGTAAAACCTGGGAGTAAACAGATTAGATGTGTTTGAAAGACATTTCAAGGGAGCTTGGGCTATCTGGCTCAGCTTCCCCACAAGCAAGATTATTTCAAGACTGATTTGATGGCATGAAGGCTTCTTCCTTAATACAGGAATTGGCTATGTAATTTATATATATACCTATATTTATCTTATTTTCCTCTTTGGCAGTGAGGAATTGAAACTTCTTCTCCCCACCCCTTTGATTAGCACAGGAGTGGCAGGAGGGATTTTTCCTCTCTTAGTCATTCTGGGCAACCTTTGAGCCCAGGTTTTCCACCCTGTTCCCTTTAGGAAGCTGCAGAGGCCACGGGAGCGAGCTCCTGGCCAGCTGGGAGCTGTCAGCTGCCTTCAAAGCCCTGGCCAGCCCTTCTGAGATAAATCCATGGTGAGGTGTGTAATGCACATGGTATCAGCCCGTATCCCACACAGTTCCTGTCCCAACAGGGATGAAAGTTTTTTTTAAAAAAACTGGAGTACAAGAGGGGAACACCTATTTCTTGGACTTTTGAGTCAGTTTATGGAGCAGTCAGGAGTGTTAGGGTTGGGTCGTGCTTGGTTTTAACTGAGGGTTGCTGGTTGTAGCTTTTACCAGCCTCTCACAGGAGTGAGGTGAGAAAGACCTAAAAGCTGGGCTGGTCCCTCCCAAACCCTCCCGTGCAGATGGCAAAGTACATTGTTGATTTACACAAAAAAGAAATGCAGAATCCTCTCTAGACATTTTGGGCTGAGACAAATGAAGATTTTGTTTTTGTTTTGTGATTCTGGCTTTGACATCACCTTTCCAATTCTCTTTTGTTTGGTCTCTCAGTGATTCATCTCTGCATTTCACTTCTCTTTTGTTTGTTCCATAATTGCTGGCTTAACCTGGAGGCATGAGGCTTCCTTGTGGAAACATCACCAGGCTGTCAGTCAGCCACAGAGAGGTGGTACAGCTGGTACAGTCCTTCCTCCCTCTCAGGAGTGAGTGAATCATCCCTTGAATATGCAATATCATCCAGGACAGGAGCCAGGATTCTCAACAGGCACATGAATTCCAGCATCTCTGGAAACATTATTTCCACATTTTGGGCAGACTAAGAGACAGTAAGTAAATAAGCAAGCTGTGGCATTTGATATCTCTTGTAGTTTTATTTAAAGTGACTGCCTGTGCTTGAAATGCTTGTGTGGGTATTAAAAACACAAAGAGAAAAGCGTGTATCCTTGATTTGATACTGCCCAAGGCAGCTTCAGGGTATGGCCCATTTAATGCCATTGAGCAGTCCATTGAACAGTTAAGAACCCACCAGAAACAGTAACTGCCTGCTTTCCTCCTGAACACACATGAACCAACACATCCCAAGCCCTCTCTGTTTTTGGTCTCTGCATTTCTCCTTTGGAGCTGTGTCCGTGCTGGCTCTTGGTCCTGCAGGGAGTTGTTTCCCACCCCTCACACAGGAGCAGTGAAAGGCAATGGGCTCCTTCCCTCAGCTGGGCTCTTGCTCAAAAGTGTCTCCCCTCCAAGGAAAAGAGCAATTTCCCATGTTTTCCTGGGCTGTAGGTGGGATGCAGCTGGAGAATCAGGGAATATTCACTGCCTCAGCAGGTAGTCCATGACACAGCGTTTCACAACATCAACCGGTTTTCCTGAGCTCGTGTATGCTGTGCTCATGAACCCAATAAAACTGCCCTGGAGTGAATGTACAACGAGATTTTACTGCTGAATGTGTGAGAGATGCAGTGGGAAGAGAACACTGCTCTGACTGAGCTGGGAAACACTGGGCAGGAGAGCTGTGATATGATTTTCTCTACTCTTATTAATACCAGGAGGCAAGACTTTTTCTGCTTCGCTTCTGTGCCAAGGTCACAGCTATGTGTTAACCTTCATCAGTCCTTCTGATGATAACAGTGAAAGCAAAATACCATTAAAATTATCTTCCTATATGTTTAAACCACTCTGGCACTTTTCCAGGCAGTGTTTGTGCCCCTGTTTATGCCGCAGACCCTGGTGACCCTGGAATACTTTTATTTACGACAGCATAAGCATCATTTCCATGGCAACATG